AACAAACCGCTTTTCATCGTTGAATTGAGACGCCAACTTTAAGTACTAAGTTATGCCTATTGAGACCCTCCATGTACCGTATTTCATGCCAAAGTAATACCGTATAAAGGCGCGTAAATTAATGATTTTTTTTGTCACATTTACGCCGAAATTTTTCGTAGGGTAGTTTTTGATTTTTAAGACTTTATTTGTTTATTTTGCAAAAATTTTCCTTTTTTAAGTGTTGTAGTAAAAATCGGAGGCACTTTGCCACTGGGCGCTAGGACTATTATAGTTCGTCCCCAGTGTTTCTCCAGCTCGGGACGAAGACCCGGCCTCCAGTTGAGCTGGGTAATTTTTCGGAAGCGTACCTGAAGACATAAGATGTTTATTTTTATTTTTTTTTGTAATAAAGTAAAAAGCTATGATACAAAAACTGTTAAAACTGTAAGCCTACTGTCAATAACTAATCGTTTTCTTCGTCGAACAAGCTGAATAATAACGATAATCAATCGTACTCCTACCGACAACCTGTACAGAATGAGTTTTCAGAGTTTCCGGAACAGCCTTCGCTACTTTGAATATATTTTCAAGTTTTAATTTCGACGCAGCAATTTCAGCTAGAGTAATTTCCATCAAATTAATCTTTTTTGTTTTTTGTTTCGAAATTTTAACAAAGTCGGCAGCAGATCGACAAACACTACCTCCTAGAACAGCCGACCACACTAAACGTTTGACAGTACCACCGATCCCATCGACGACGCCCTTGCCATGTGAAGTAGCAAAGAAATTCCAACTTAGTTTCACTTTATAAAAATTAGCAATTTCAAGTAAATTTCGAAAATGAAATCTCTGCTTAAATTGGCTAGCTGCGCAGTCGGAAAAGAAAGCAATCTCTTTAACACTTGGAAGTACAGTTTGCACAAAACAAAGTGAGTGAATGAGAACGACACATTTTATCGTTTCTGTCACTAGATAGAATTTTCTTTTTCTTCTTACTTTCTCCCTCGCTTGTCAGCCTAACGTGTGACACGAAAGCAAAAGAGAGATTGTGTTTTCTTATGCCACAGAAAGGTGCGATCTAATTCAAACTTTTCTATACATGACGACCTACTGCTACAGAGTAATCATGGCTGCTTTTTTGTTTAGTGTAATCTTCACCATTTTTTCTGTTTTACGGGTTTCTTTTATGGGTTTTTTCGTTCTCACGTTCTTAGCGTTGACAAACTATTTCTCTTAAGCTTTCGGTAGCAAATAGCAAACCGTTCACTACCGATAGACGAGCCCTAGCTTTGGATTGTTGTATACCTAGTAGTATCTGGGCGGCAAAAATTTTCATCGATTTGGCGTACAAGTTTTATTTTGCCTATTAGCCGGCCTACCGGTTCTATTTATGCTGAATATTTTAGAATTTTTAGTTAAAAGAAGAGACACGAGACAAACTGAGTTACGTTTCAGCGATTCGGATGGAAAATAGTGTAGATAAAAAGTTTAGAATATATTAGTAAAATCTGAACAGCAAATATGAATTAGTTCTTGTAGTACGAAAATCATTCAGCTTTTTGTTATTTAATGTTTATCAAGTGTACTGCAAATGTTTTATAACTACTCATCATAGGTCATCGTGATTGTATCGATGGTACAGATGAACAATACATACTTTTTGATATTGAAGAGTCACGTCGACGTCCATCTAATCCAGATGCTTTTGAGTGTGATGAGTCTACATTTAATCGTCGTAAAATATTTTTCTTGTGGCAATGGTCAGTTTATACTCGAACGGGATAGAAGGGCAATATCATCATTTGCGGTTACTTCTACTTGTCAAAGTTTTAGAGATACATTATTTATGTATGGACTGAGATTCTTGAATAACATGTGGACAACAGAAAATGGAAAATGTCTTGCATATCCTGAAAAATCGTACGAAACAATAGAAAATTTTTCTAAATCAGATTCATATTATTTTAGCCAATGTGCATTTTCTAATGAATTACATCCTAAATGTAATTGTGAAGATAACAAGTGTCTACCAAAAATACATGAAAACTGTCCATCAAACTTACCAGTTGAATTGCAAGAAGATGATATTATTATAATAAAATATCCAACAAAATCTGTATTTACGCCTTATTATAGCAGATATTCAGGAAATGTTGAATATTTCTCATTTCATCATAGTATTAAGTGTATAGGATATCAAGGTTATATGCCGAATGAATTGTATTATAATGCAAATGAAAATTTTTTCTATGTATATGATATGGATACAATATTTTGTAGTCAAGGTACACCAAATCTAAATGGACCACAATATGATGAACACTGTTGGAAAAATTTGCCAAATTCACGTTCGTATCACTTTTTATATTCTCATCGATGTATTTCTATGTATCGTATACGAGATGGCATATATGATTGTCCACACGGTGATGATGAAGAGATGAATTGTTCAATATACGCTAGAAAAAATCGATTTCGATGTGGTGAAGAAGAAACATGTTTATTAGCAGGAATGCTTGGTAATTTAAATCCTGATTGTCAATCAAATAATCGTGATGAATATATACAACAGACAGACACAAAATTATCAAACATGTTTTGTCTCATAGATAATTCTAAAGAATGTAAAATACTTAAAGTATATATTCGACAATCGCAAATAATTTCAACATACATGCCACTCGAATTAAATAGTACGACAAATCAAACAATATCATTGTCATCAGCATTACCAAATAAAATGAATTTTAATCAATATTGTGATTCATTTTGGAATTTAAAATGGGATTTTGATGAATTATCAAGTTTTTGTCGAGACTGGATTTGTCCACCGTACTATTATCAATGTCGAACTGGTCAGTGTATACCAATTGATTGGGTTTGTAATAATGAATGGGATTGCAGCGATGCATCGGATGAACAAGGAGTATTTCTCATCGATGAGTTATCGGAACATAATTTCGCAATCCTAAATCGTTGTGAATATCGTGGAACACATCAACCGTTTAGTGATATATGTAATCTTACCACAGATTATCCGTGCTTTTTAATCAATATTGAATATAACCTAACAATTCGTAAAAAAACATTTGGACTATGATTTATATTCATCTGTATATGAAATAAGTCCACATCCGTGTATATCATTATCAAATATTGGTGATAATCATACTGATTGTGCAGGCGGGTTAGATGAAAGAAATACTCATGGATATTCAGAGGTACAGATGTTAGGTTTTAATTTTAAATGTACAAATAGTACAAATCAATTTATTCCTTATAGTCAACAATGTAAACAATGTTGTTCAAATAATGAGGATAATATGTTATGTGATAAGATAGCATCTAGTATGGAACCAAATAATACTGATCTATTTTTTAGTCAAAGATATGATAATCTTATGTGTCTGCCTATGATAGTATGGACGAATATTACTGTGATCCACGCATACCAAAACGTTTATTATCATACAGATATGATGCCTTTATGTATGCATCTTTAAATGTTACACTGTCATATTTACCTATTACAAGTAAGAGTTCCACAGTGGGTATTTTTTCATAGAGCAGGTAGACATTTGGTTTTTTGAGTTAAAAAATGATTATTTTTGCATAATATAGTCTTATTATATGTCAGATATTAACAGAAGTAAAAAAAAGTCAATTCGAAAAAACTTTTTATTCTATTAAAAATACCTTAGGAGGCTCCCTGTCTTGAATTTTCGTCAAAACATGTTTTATTTGTAAAACTAACAAATTATACATCATTCGATGCAGTTTTACGCGCTGGTTCCAAATATCGCATTATTTTTTAATAAAAGTGTTCTTGTGCCAAGGAAAATACATTTTACCTAAAAACCCGGGGTTTTCTACAAAACCCATAACTCAGTGTGAAAAAAGTTGTACATTTTTGCGCATGCACCATAGATACAGAACATCTTGACGCATATTCTGGTGTAAGCTTGAGTCTTGGTGAAGTTCAGGAAAGTTTAGGAAATGAACCTTAACCGAAGTACTCGTTAGAAAATCCCATTTATTCGAAAAACTGCTAGCTTTTAAAAAGTTGCTGTCACCCAAAGCGAGAAATGTCTGTACTAACAGATAGCTAACACAATATTCCACCGGCTCATTCGCCCACTCCTGGAAAGTTTTCTTAAAGCAAGTCCGCTCCTTATCGCTCTAAAGCCTCGTCTACATTAAAAGACTGACGCGATGTTGCATACTTTGACCAAAGAAAACAGAAGACTAGATTTAAGCATTTTAACTAAATCAAACGAAAACTCATTGAATAATATCATATTCTCTACTTTTTAGCCAATTAAACAGAAACACAAAAGATAATGAACAGAAGATTACTATTTAAAACCGGTTTTACGTATACGTCGATGAGAGAGAATTGAACGTCAGAATTATGAGCTAAATAACTCGATGGGGACATGGATTTGTATTCGCGGTGTTTCCGCCCGAGTTGGCTCTTCACTCGAATGTTTTTTGTCCTCCATCATTGTATGGCAGCTTCTGTCAATATTATAGTGATAGAATAACAATAATTATAAGTGTAGAAAATTTACCAGAAAATAATACATTGTTCCGACTTGTTAGTTCATTCCTGTTAACTGCTAATGATGTTATTGATTATAAACAATTTAATGTTAATTATAATGATACAAAGTTAAAATATGAATTTTATTTTGTCTATCCGAGACCAAAAACAATAGTAAATCATTCGTATTCTATTCGATTTGAATTATTTTCTAGTAATTCTCTTACTATGGATTTATTAGCAGTATGACAATATCCATTAAAACTATTTTTTTTTCTACCATCATATCGTTTAGCTAAAATTTTAAAATTTGAGAAAAAAAAAACAGAGTAATAATCATATTTGTGATTCGACTAATAATTCACGTACATACAATTCTATTTGTTATCCAGTAATGAATGAGATAAATGATTCAACTGCCTACTATTGTCTATGTAATAAAAATTCGTTTGGAAAAAATGTCAGTTACAGAGTAATTCCTGTCGACCACCAAGATCGCACTGTATTTGTCTATTGGATCAAACAGGCTCAAAATGTCATATTAATGAAACATCCATTGATTCAAAATATTTTTGTTTAAATAATGGTACTATTGATCTGTCTGACGAAATACATTTTTTCAAATGTATTTGTAGTTCAAACTATTACACTAATTATTTACCAACGATGTTTAATTGCAAAATAGGGTCTCATCTTTAGTAGTTAGTTTTTCTTTTACGACATTCATTTTGAATGATCATTCGGTAATCGGTGTCAGCATCAGTCTGGTAGTATTAGAATTGCCTATAATAATACAGAATTTATCAAGATACTATCATTATCCTGGACTTATACTTCAGTTATACAATTTTGTAATATATCAGATTTTGAGTGGACTTGGATCGTTCAACAACAAAAAATCTCAAAAAATGTTCCCGTAATAGCCGAAACCAGTCACATCGATCATTACATACCAGCCGTTGCTTTCTTAAATTATATTTTAAATATTTATATAGTATAAATCAGTATAAAATTGAATATTTTCTTCCTTATAGTCAATTATTCGTGCGTGATTCACCACCTATCTAAAACGCGAGGGTTCGAAATCTGTTAGCAACGGCTATTGACACTACTAAGTGGTGACACTTAGGCTATTGACACCTACTGGAAGTAGTAGGAAGAGCTATTGGCACCACTAAGGGGTGTTAGCAATGACTATTCACACCTAGTGGAGGTGGCACGAACGGCTATTGACACCTCCATCTGACACGTTGAAGAAATTCAGACGCGAAATTGCACTCGCTGTGCAGTAACGACTAAAAGTAGTTGCATTTAACGTTTCTAATTCAGAATTCGAAGTCTGCAGTGATTATCAACGAAGGCAACTCGTTGAAACTATACCTTTAAACCTCAGTCGTGCGCTAAAGCTTGGTGGTGTCAATAGTTCTTCCTCAAGAGCCATCATCCACAATTACGTTTTACAACTCTTCTCTCATTCCTCACCAAAAAAATACGTTCAATTTTGTTCCATGCTGCTTGTGTCTTTTTTCTAAAGAAAACAGTTAATTCTACATTCAATCCTTCAACAGCCATTTTTCAATATCACTTACTTTATCGACACTCCAACAAAACATCATCATTATTATGTTTTCATGATGATGATTACTTTCGTTTACGTGATACTTGATTAAGCAAATAAGCTTATTACAGCGGGATCTTCATTCTAAGGTATAATTTTCGTTTGTATTTCATATTTACGGGCCTTTTATCATCGATATTGTACCTCATTATCAAAATTAGCCCGCTTTCTAACATTTTCAATATCATATACCTTCTAAAAAACCTGAATCTATGACGCTCCACGATGAGTGCGAGAAGGGAGGAAGACAATTCCGCTAAAGGAAATCGGTGTTTCTCAACCATAAAAATAACGTATTTTTGTACTTCTTATGGCTCTTCCAATATGGTCCTTGCTAACTCATGCTGTTGACAGGGACGATAATTTTTTTATTTTTCGGCTTGTCTACTCAAACAAACTTTTAGTTCTCTATATTACATATTTCTCAGAGTGAACCTTCCCAAGTGTCAAACTTCGTTTTCAATGATCGTATGCTAGCTGATTGAGGAAAGTGTTCTAGTTAAAATCCTAAAAGGATTTGTGTTCATGGTGCTCCTTTCTAGAGTTTTTGTTTCATTGGAAAAACAAGTACGAAAACACCTAAATTTTTGTTTTTCGCTAAAACAGCAAATTTTGAGTTTAACCATATGTTAATTTTGAGTTAATCATATGTGGTCCCGTTAGTATTTCCTAATGAACAAGCTACCTTCGCTCTTCTCGCTCTCTATAATTTATTTTTTTTTTTCGATGTATTTGATTCTCTATGTGAATAACAGTTATTCCATTATTGTAATGGTTTGGTAAGATTGTTGGATGATGTTTTTTGTACCTGTTTTTCCAGCGAAACAGAAAAAATTCATAACTCTTGAAACAAGTACCATAGGCACAAATCCTTTTAGAGTTCAGCTAGAACACTTTCCTCTATCAACTGGCAGAAGATCATTGAAAACGGAGTTTGACACCTGGGAAGGTTTCCTTGTCATCTTCGTTAGAGTAGAACTTACACAGGAAACAGTTGTTTTATAACTTTATTGATTCATAGTAAAGAGGCCAGCGACAAGGTCATTTTAGGCCTAACCTTTAACAATATGTAATCAAATAACAAGGGAAGATAGATTGAAATCAGAAGGGAAAGAAGGAAGTAACAGTAAAAATAAGATAAAATAAATAAACGGTAAATGATAAGTTAGAGGTCCTGTAGGTATGGTGAATTTATGGCTTATAAATAGAATTAAAAAGAATCAGACATACTGCTAGTTTTCAAATCTTCCTGTTTCAGAAATACAAGAGTTCACTGCCCAAAAAATAGATGCTGCCTCATCCTCGCTTCTCCCAATCTCATTAAGTAGTAATATGTCCATGGTAAAGGTTTTTAAGAAATTTAGTTTTTGCTTTAAAATTATTATTGCATTATTATATAGTGGACAATTAAGAAGATGGAGTTCAGCATCCTCTCTAACACTCCCACATATACACTTAGGCGAGTCTACACATTTATGTTTGAATAAATAATAGTTAAGTGCTGGAAAATTTGATTTTATCCTGAAAAATAAAACTTCTGCTCGACGTGTCAAAAATTTTAACTTTTTAGAAAATGGTGATACTGTGCTTAAATCTGATTTTAAACTTATTCTCATTTTTGAAATGCCCGTAGTGATGTAATCACTATTATTCACTATCAGATTGTTTCATTCTTTCGTAACAACAGTAAAGAAATCTTTTTCTATATTATTAACTACCTCTAACGTAATGTTCGAATTATCTCGTAAATTATATGGAACATTTGGTCTATGAAACTGTAAATGATTGATTAGATAAGCGGTGCAAGATCCTTAAATACTTTGAAAAATATCAATAATCTCAAAATATAAAAATGTGTTTTTATGGATATCCAACCTAAGATTTCATATAATCGGTCTTTTGATGTACCTTCCATTGTTCCACAGATGGTCATTGCAGT